ATTATTAAGCACTGTAGCAGGGAAGGAAGGGAGATATGCACTCATTGAAAATACTTAGACAGGAATAATTAGCATGCTGCCAGAACCTGTGGCTCACTTATTCAAAAATATGTTCCACAGGACTTACTCTCAAGTAACACTCACAGTAAATCATTTACATTCAAGGTTTTCTGGAACATTTATTGGAAGAAGAAATGCAATACATGGGAAATAATATCAGCTAAGGTGATTTTTCTATTTTTAAGATTCAGTCTATAAGTAATATCTTTTTAAAAATATTATGGAGAAAACAAATTACTTCTGCCTTTCAAATGAACAACACTTCTATTTATTTTTAATACAAGAACTCAGTGTAATATTAGCAGCTATTTTCCCTGAGGAAAAGAGGGTGGTTATATGCATGTTATTATTTTTTTTATTTTATCTTAGAATGAGCCTTTACGGTCAAATACTGGCAAGTTTTGTTTCCTTTAAATGAAACATGACATTTCTTTGTTTTGATAAGAAAATCAACATACGGCTAAACAACAATGAGAAAGAAGGAGAAAAGACATTGAAATCCAGACCAATCATTGCGTCAGGTTAGAGACGGAAGAGCGCACAACAGTAAAGGAAGATGCTAGTTTTGAAAAATTAATGTTTAAGGTGTGATCTCTAGACGCTGCAGTTTGAAGACTTACGGGTTCGCCTTTGGGGCCTGCTTCTCCTTTGAAACCTGGCACACCAGGATCTCCCTGAAAGTACACACGATCCAAGAATTAGTGACACTGGGCTTCTCAAAACTGGTAACGAGTACAATGATTTTGGTGAATTGTGGTTTGTACCAGCTGAGCACCTTTTTAAGTAAACTGTTCTTACTAAGGGGAAGAGGGAGCGCTGTCTCCACTGAGTCTGAAGTCCTGCTGGGCTCTTGACCGCAAGGTGGACATGTAAGCAAACATGTATCCACTTCCTCTTTCCTTCTGTCGGGTTTCCTTTCTCCATTTTACCAGAAAACCAAATCACATCAGGGTAGACATGTCTAAATTTCTATCTCTTTCGGAAGTGTGGCTAGGCCCTGAAAGAACTGTAGGTCTTCTCCACCCCTGCTTTCTTTCACCTCATTTTCACTCCCTCTAAAGCTGGAAGGCCCACCACAGAGACCTCAGCAGTGGTCGGGAAGAAACGGAAGAACGCATCCAGTATAATCTCTCCACCTTCTAGTTTAGCGCTTGCTGGTCTACATCTTTCTTTAACCCTTGGGACACAATCCTGGCATGACAGCTTCCCGACCTTCTGCCCAAGACCACAGAACTGTAGCCTTAACTGTCAAGGTAGCAGCAACAAATTTACAGCCCAGGAGGCACTAAACTTACGATGGATCTAATTATTTTGATTTTCACTCCAAGATCTAGATTAAGGAGAGGACACGATAACAAATAATGGGGAATCTGACAGGAACCAAATAGGCAACAGCTGGGGACTTGCTGTTCTGTGTGCAGCTGGTGTTCATGGGAGAAGTTGCAGAATTGTCGCCAGGAGCATCTTCCCCAAACACTAAAGCAGAGATGTAAACATGTCTTAGTCTTGACTCTGTTGAGTTTCTCTCAGTCTTGCTTGCCAGGTCAAGATACAAGACTTTTTTCTTCCCATACTGAAATTCATACACTTTGTTTGGTGAACATTTTTCCTAACGTGTATGTTTACGTATACACTTCGCCTAACGTACATATTATCTAATTTTACCCATTGACTAAAGGTCGTCTGCACATTATTTGTTTAGCTGTATACATTTTAGCCATTTACGTTTTTAATGTCCATGTAGTTTTCTGCATATACTACCTTCTCCAAAATACCTTGTACATCTTGGAAATGTTTGTATTGTTCAGGTGACATGTGTTGCTCCTTACAAAAAGACTTCAAAAGTGTGGAAACTCTACCCCTATAGAGACTGTCAAGTCCAAATAAAGTTCTTCTCTATACCTGGACTCAACTATTTTTGGACACAGATTGGTTCTGCCCATTCAGGCTGGCCACTAGAAGAGTTGGTCAGGAAGGGCATCAAAGTCTTCCTGTCTGGGCTAAGAAAGAAGAGTCTCCCCGGCTTGGCCATGTTTTGCTACATTCCTAGCACAATTGCCACCTTCAGCTTCCAGACTTTCTACTGAGTGTTGTCCATGGCTCAGCCAGAATAGAAATGCACCTAGCAATGCCTAAAACTAATCCTTTTCAATAAAACTAATCTCTTTTCAATAAGTGACTCCACATTTTGTCAGTGTTCAGCGATCTCAGGGAGCAAGCTGATACTGCTCACCAACTACACTGTCCTTAGGGGCTTACTCCTGACATTCCCAATGTGACAAAAGACATCATTACCATTTGTCCTCGGACGCCAGGAAGACCTGTGCTCCCTTGTGGTCCAGGGGAACCAGCTGGCCCTGGTAAGCCATGTGGTCCTGAAGTGCCTGCAGATCCCTACACAATAAACACATACAGTCAATAAGAGATGCAGAACAGAAGACACAGTATTAAAAAGATTGTTGATTTGCTTGATTTGTTTACTTACGGTTGGTCCTTTAGCACCCGTGGAACCATCTGTACCAAGAGCACCCTAAAAGAGTGTAACATGTATCATTTCAACAATGTGAGCCATTCATAGACCTCTTCTTTCATTGGTTTTGTATCCAATGAGTACATATCTGGACAATGAAGATGTGAACATTTCTTAGATGGAAATGATACAAAGTGCTTTACATAAAACCTAAGGCTAATGCTAATGGGTTAATGCAAAGAGGATACATACTACTTGTGCACCATAAACAATTACCTTTATGCTGAACAAAGAACAAGAAAATGACAAAGAGACCTTTAAAAACTAACACATTTATAATAACACAAGCTTTCATGGACTAATGTCTGAGAACTCATGTGATAATAAATGTGCCAGTACTAAGGTACAACAAGACTCATTTTGTTTTTGCGGCAACACAGCTTACTGTAGTACCTCTCTGGAAATTGTTGCAGGAAAAATGCTGCGCATTAGTTGTCTACAACAACCTCAAATGATTGGATAAGTATGGAGATTCCTTGCAAAACACAATGGCATGTGAAAAGGCTCCCCAATGTCTATGTAAGTTCAACATATCCACATGTGTCCTAAGAGACTGCCGTGACAAGGACTGGATGAAATGTGGAAGCCATTTCTATCCAAAAAGTAATGACCAAGAGAGTTTCCTTTTTAGGCACACATTGAAGGAAATCTGCACACCTATCTACCAACCCAATATAACTTATCCTGGAGCAACGTATATGCCATGAATTCAACAGTACATCAGAGAAACATGGCTGTATGGCAGTGGTGAAGCTGCATCTAGGCTGTGACACCTCCGTTCACAGGCTGAGGCTCAGAAATGTACCTGCCTCTGATGAAGAACACAAAACAGTAGGATTTAAAAAGTACTACTGTGTCACTCTTGAACTGTGGGAAACATGGCTTCCCAGAAGACTGCACCTGGTTACCCTTGGTATATTCAGTAATATGTGTGGCCACTTACAGTATGCCCAGGCAAATGTTGATCGCTTCTTAGGATGTACAATATGTGTGGCTCATATACTTAACTATGAACATTTTTATGAACTTACAGGAAGACCAGACAATCCTGGAGGACCTGCTAGACCTGTTTCTCCTCTTTGTCCCTGAGGGCCTTCTGGACCACGTGCACCTGTTGGACCTGCTTCACCCTGAAGATTCACATCAGAAGGTGGGAGAAAGAATAAGACAATGGAAGGAAACACATTGTTTATAATAGCCGCTATTACCACCAAGTGAAGTCTCCCATCAGCTGAACCTCTATTGACAAAGATTCAGTTTACACTTGTGGAATGAAATGACAAAGAACCGTCTTGGTTGAGGAGGGGGGGGTGTTGTTTTACAACGGACAAGGCAAAGCAAGGCGCACGGTGCTATTTTGCCAAAGTTGTCCTGCCCCATGTTCCTAAGATTCCATTCTGCCCTAGGTCATGGTGGAGGATGCTGTCAAGTATGGATGGATTCTGAAAACAGAACGGGGAAGACCTCTCTCATCCTTCCCTTGAGGAAGCAAAAGGTTTTCAGTCAGCTGTATAGCTAAAACAGATGAAGGACCCATCCATTCAAATAACTGACTGCACGATGTACACAAAAATGCAATAAAGGTGCATGAATAAATTTCTACATTTTCTATAAAATTGAGCTTTTACCTTTCTAAGGAGAAAGGCAGGATAGAAAATATTTTAAAATACATAATTTAAAAAAAAGAAAATTGATTAGAAGTTCACCACCTACAGTGGTATGTACTGGTCAAATCAAAGGTATTATAAAATCTTTACAACAGAAACTATTTGTTGTCTGTCAACAATATGCATGATGTAATATTCCAATCATATTATTTGCATGCAATGAATACGTAAATCACCAAAAGCCATATTATGTACAGTACATCTGCTGTGATCCTTGAGCCAGGCTCCTGCTGGGCAGTGAGTGGTACAGCAGAATGCCGTTGTGTAAGCACGCATCAAGATGTTATAGTGAACCCCTCCTTATTCCAGGGAAGAAAAAGTCAAACCACTTACGAAACAGCCTGCTGCATGAACAATTTGACCAAACAGGGACACGGCCTTACTGTCCTTTGGCATCCTACTTGTTTATAAAGCTGAGGAACTCACCCTCCATTTTTTTAGGCTCAAAATTTCCTTCCTTTCCTTTCCTGTTTATTTAGTCCTGTCCTTATTTTGTTTCCCATGCATTAAAAGGGATTATTATTTAAACCCTTAAATTACAGCACTGGCTAACATTAGGCTATTGTTTACTGAGACCAGCCAACTATAAATACAACATAAAACATCTGCTGGGTAGGTTTGTCCACCTCGCCATTGTTTCTCTCCAGAAGCATGATTACCACACGTGTGCTCTGCAAAGGCTTCATGGACTTTGGTGCCTCAAATGACTCATTTACTATCATCCTTCCTGAGCTGTATCTCCATACCTCCCTCACATGCTGTAAGGAAGGCTGCATCAGAGCAGTACCAAATTGGGGGGGGGGACTCCTGGGAGGTCTAAGGACATTCTTCCCTTTATAGAACTTTTAAGGTCACCGTGAACATCCCAAGGAAAGTGTCCAAGTTTTATTCCAGGAGTTAAGCTGACATCTAGAACTGATTTCTTCAAACTCCCAGATGCCAGGAGAACTAATGGTCATGAAGCATCGTCTCCCTTTCCCTCCCCTGGGCTTTTCAGTCCTGCACCTCCTGTTTGGGGGGATGTACCACACCTGCTGCCCTGGTGTACAAAGCAGGCAAGGGAAAATAGAAAATGACTGTATTTGGGAGCAACAAGCGGGAGAAATGTGACAGAAGCAACCTCATCTTCCATTGCCTCAACCATTCTTTGGCACTCTAAGCCAGTGGTCCCCAACCTTGGGCCTCCAGATGTTCTTGGACTTCAAGTCCCAGAAATCCTGGCCAGCAGAGGTGGTGGTGAAGGCTTCTGGGAGGTGTAGTCCAAGAACACCTGGAGGCCCAAGGTTGGGGACCACTGGTGTAAGCAATCCACTATGTAATGCAGAGGACACAAAACAGCAGTAGCTTCAATGTGGATCAGTCAGGGGCACGACATAACCGTTCAATGCAAATGTGGTGTCACATTTTCCTTGAGGGTCTACACAGCAAACATGTTCCTTAAATTGTCTTTAATCAAAGATAAGGCAACAATATTTCCTAGTATTCACGAAGGCTTTCACGGGCGGGATCTAATGGTTGTTGTGGATTTTTCAGGCTCTTTGGCTGAGTTCTGAAGGTTGTTCTTCCTAACATTTCGCCAGTCTCTGTGGCCGGCATCTCCAGAGGACAGCACTCTGTACTCTGGGGTAGTCAACTACAGAGCGCTCTCCTCTGAAGATGCCGGCCACAGAGACTGGCGAAACGTTAGGAAGAACAACCTTCAGAACACAGCCAAAGAGCCCGAACAACAACCAATATCTCCTAGACTAACCTTGGGTGCCCAGATGAACTCTCAGAAGCCTTCATCACAAGCTGTGCTGGCCAGGACTTCTGGGAGTTATAGTCCAAGAATATTTGGGGGCCCAAGACTGTCCTTGACTCCATACATCGCAGACTGGAAGGAGAACTGGACTAGTTCTCAGACAATCATGGGCAGGCAGTGGGCGGGGGGGGGGAGAGTAAGACACAGAGTGAGCAAAGCCATTCCCATAGTTGACATGAAAAGCCCCAAGGTGCTTGTTCCTCCAAGAACCACACACACATATGGGGTTGGAGGGCTTTATTCACTTCAACACAGCTGTCACCTCTAGGATGAGTTCTGAGCTGGCTTCAGCTACTACTTGCTGCCCCCCTAGTCTCTGCCATATAGTTTCCATAACATAGACATATTCAGATTAACAAGGAAGGAGCAAACAGAAAAACTGCATTTTCCAGAAGAACCTGACATTTAAATGAAATAAATATTTGGAGCAAAAGTTACAGGTGACAGAAGGTCCCATATAAGTTGACCAACATGCTAACTGTATAGCACCCAGCTGGACAGGAGGTTCTCTTTGATAAACTGAATTGGAATAAATTAGAGATCATGGACTGCCGCAGATGTTTTTCATATCAAATGAAGCTTTAATGGATCACAGTCTCATTTGATAAAGAATGCCTTTTCTATTGACTTTTGATTATTAATTATGGCTAAATGTAAAAACCTCATTCAAAGGAAATAATGACAAAGAAGACAGAAAAAACTCTCTGGCTGTGTTTTGCACCCAGAGACAGCAAGGAACTCATTAAGGAGAAACAATTAGAAATGGTTAAAATAAATACTCTTCAAAGATTAAAACAGAGATGGGTGTTCACTATTTCCATTCTTTCAGCCCAAATGACTTTGTTTAGTACTAATTTTGTTGAATATGGGGAAATAAGTGACATGAACTTTGCAGGAGAACAATAGCATTTTATGACATCATAAATGAAGGCAAATAAATGAAGAAAGTAAAATTCATGGGTGTTTGACTTTCTCTGCTATTTATTCCTCTGTGGCCCAGCACTCCAGGTACAATGCCAACTTCCATTTAAATAAATTATGCTTCCAGCTGTTGCAGTTTCCTAAGGGATACTACAACCTGACCTATCCAGCTAAATAATGTCACATACCAAACCATTAGAAAAATAGCATATGGGTATTGCAAAAGGACATGCTTACATATTTCATTAATAGTGACCAAAATCCTGTTGCTTAGAGTAGTAAATTGCACTAGAAGTAGGTCCATCAAATCAGTGAGTGGTTCCCTTGATTTAAATGATTCTACTATAGTTACGACTTATTTTAGCACAGTAAATCACAGTTAGAGTAGGTCCATTTGAATCAATGGAACTCACCGAGGAGTCGGCTCACCAAAGCCCCATTGAGTAAGTGGGCCTACTGTAGTGAAACGTACTATGCGAAGCCATAGAATTTTGGCCACTACTATGTTTTTCCATTAGTCTTCGTTATTTCAAAATCAGCTGTTCAAAATCGTAGTTGCCTATCCAGTGTACTTGCTTGTACACTGTCATAGGTACCACTTCAAGCAGTCTGCTTTTGCACCCCACATTTGCTTTTGTAGAAAAATCCTTTGCTAATAGCCAACACATTTGCTTCAATGGGCAAATTAATAACCACCTTTGCAAGTAACAGTAAGGTTGACCTGCAGAGAAGGGTGCCTTGTCTGCATGAAGATGATTGCTACCTAAAGCCAATTTCCTTTCCCTTTGGATCCATCAGGAGAAGCGGCTAAAGAGAAACTAACCATGACGCCAAAGCTTAGCACTACATCTGGACCGGGTTGCCTTATTGCCATTCTATGAGAGGAGACATATTTGCACCCCAATAAGCATGAGAGGTTGGATTGGGAGAGCCTTCGTGACCTGTTTTATCCAAAAGTCGTTACTTCTGGAAGGCTTCGGGGTGAAAGAAACACATTTTTTAAAAAATATGTTGGGTGGGGAGGATTTCAGAGGCTCCCCAGCATGCAGCCCATAGAATACCTTTTCTCCACACCTCCTCTAAAACAAGCCATGCATTGTGAAAATGGCAAGAAGACAGTCTGGCTTGTCAAGGAGACAACAAAGCAAAAGTACCACGGTGGACATATAGTAATACTGTACTACACTTTACTTTCTGTGTATTTTGTGCCTTAGGTGGCCTCCTGATATTGTTAGATTTCCAACTTCCAGCACTTTCAGCCAGTATAACCAATGGTGAGGCACTGTGGGAGGTGTACACCTTAGGTGGCTACAGGTTCCTCACAGCAAATTTAGCTTCTCTTGCTGACAGGACCCATATGGTAGCCTGCATCAGCATACTTCTTGTGAGCAAAACCCTTGAATGCTCCACAACCCTGACTTCCAATAATCTGTAAGCACGCTGCTGTTTCTTTCTATTTCCTAAGAAGGAAAAGTATGGCTAAACTCTGTCCTTGGAATAGCTGGGTAGAATGCCCTTCTCAAAAGTACCGTATTTTTCTGTGTATAAGAACCTCTAGGTTCTTATACATGGGTTCTTACATAAGAACCCATGTATGAGACGACCCCCACTTTTCCAACCCAAAATTAAGAAATCTAAGTGGGTCTTAGCATGTATAGGGGGAAAGAGATCAAAGCTATCCCACGACTGCATGATCGTTTTGATTCCTTTCCCCCTTATACAGCCATGGGATTGCTTTGAGCCTTTCCCCCTCCTTTTGCTAAGCCCCATGGGACTTAGTAAGTTTAGGGGAAAGCAAGGATCAAAGCCATCCTGCAGCGCTTTGATCTCTGCTTTCCTTTTGCTAAGGCTTAGCAAGTGGAGGGGAAAACAGGGATCAAAGCCCTGCAGGATCACTTTGATCCCTGCTTTTCCCTCCACTTGTTTTTCTCTCTCCTCAACTTACTTCCATGTATAAGATGACCCTCAATTTTTAGTCTAAAGATTTTAGACAAAAGTATAGTCTTATACATGGAAAAATACGGTATCTTTCTCTCTCTCCCTCTGACTGAGTGGCTGAAATTCTACAGGAAGTCATAACTAAACAGGCCCATTGAATCAATGTTGGATTGGTGAGTCTACTCCTCTGTAAATTCCAATGATACAATGGGCCTACTCTACTTGTGACTTACCGCTGGAGTACAGCCAATGTATAAGGAAAAGAGCTGGTTTGGAGAAAGGTATTCTACTCAGCTTTTCCAATCAAAGCAAGAAGGGACTCTTATTTACATCAGATCTTAGGTACACAGTCTACCTACCTACCTACCTACCTACCTACCTACCTACCTACCTACCTACCTACCTACCTACCTACCTACCTACCTACCTACCTACCTACCTACCTACCTACCTACCTACCTACCTACCTACCTACCTACCTACCTACCTACCTACCTACCTACCTACCTACCTACCTTCCTTCCTTCCTTCCTTCCTTCCTTCCTTCCTTCCTTCCTTCCTTCCTTCCTTCCTTTTTTACTGAATCTTTTTTGTTTTCCAATTTTCAGGGTTTCTTAAAAACCAAGACACAGACATAAAAGGAAAATAGGCTTTAAAAGAAAATGTACACATCAGAACCTATATTAAGAACCTCAAATCACATTAAAAATCAGTACAGTGGGGTCTTGACTTAAGAACGGCTTGAGTTAAGAACATTTTGACTTAAGAACCACTCTCATAGGACAATATTGACAACTTACATACTTAGATTTGAGTTAAGAACTGAAAAAAACCATGTGGGAGGCAGGGAAAGTGCAAAATTTGAACTTTCAGTTAACTGTTGGCCAGTGAAAAGGGTGCCTGTCTGCTTCCTCACTCCTCCCAGCGTTTAGAGAGTGGATTGGGAGTCTTCAGACTGCCTGGTACTGCCTGGACTGTATTTTCCCTGCCTTCCCTGAACCTTTCTTGACCTAAGAAAAAAAGAAACAAAATATCCCCCTCTAGTGGTCAAAGGCAGAATAGCAGCTTCCCATTAGTTTCTATGGACGGAAAAGAGCAGATACGGATCAAATGGTTTTCAATGCATTCCTATGGGAAATGCAGATTTGACCTGAGAACTTTTTGACTTGAGAACCACCTTCCAATACGGATTAAGTTCTCAAGTCAAGACCCCACTGTACACAGGTACAAATTATATGTAATATATATCAGATATCATAGCATTAGTCTTCCCCCCACCCACCCATGTTCTCTCTTCAAGGATGACTCCATCTATGTGATTCAACCCAGAGTAGGCCTGGGCATTTGACTTGGTTTGTCCCTTCCTCATCTATTTCATTTGGGCTGACAGCAGTGCAAACAGGAAGCACTTTCAGACCTCAACCTGTTCTGAACTACAGTTCCTGCCATACCTTACCATTGGCCATGTTGGCCAAGACTTCTGGGAGATGAAGTCCAAAACATCCGCTGAATCAACATTTTCTCACCCCAAGATAATAAACTTACTTGGACTTCTGACACATTCAATAAATAAATGGGGATAATCTCCAGTTGGTAACATCCATATAATACGAGTGCTGTAGGTGGACAGCATGTGCCCTCAAGACAATAACAGTGTCTACAAATATCCAGATATCAAATAATGAGTGAATTATCTTTCTGCAAGGCTCCTTCTTCCTGCAACAAAGGTAACCATCCAGAAGCCAAGAGTAAACATGACAAGCAACAGGATCACATCTTTGCTAGGATCCCAAAGAAATAAGGAACTACTGCCTTCCACACAAGTAGCTTAAAGCTCATTTTGAAGTAGACTTTTTTTAATAACTGGGACTTATCTATTAGAAAATTCTGAATTGGGCATGGGATCAGGGGAGATTTTAACTCTTTCGCCACTACCTGAATGTGCACGTTAGAGAACGCAGTGCACAGGAATGGGGAAATAATTCTTAACAGAAATTTATTTATTTATTTATATTGTTTATTTCTTAGATTTATATACTGCCCCATTAGTATAGTGCACTATTCTGGGCAGTATACAACAATTGTGAATAAAATGCATAAATGTTAGACTACTAATATATACAAATAAGTTAAAAGCATTTGGCAAATCAATGAAGAAAAGCTTACCTTCATACCAGGTGCACCTGGAAAACCTGCTGAACCAGGTATACCAAGGGGGCCCTATGAAAAGGAAACAACAAAGGCGAATAAATATCCATGTACTGTAAAGCTGTTCAAGCACAGATCCTTTCCTAGTTTAGAAGGTAACACAACATGGAAACATAGGTAGAAATGAGAAATTCACCCAATGCAGACCTTAATTTCTTGTGGCAGAAGTACAATCCATTTTTACAATGGTTTTATTGCTAGATAGCAATGTCATGGGAAGTAGATGCAGTTCCTAACAAAAAGATCCACAGGGGCCTTGGGTATTCATGACAGCTTCCCGATTCCGTTCCATGTCGAAAAACATTCGAATTAAAGAACAAGCAATTCCTGGTACAT